TTTTGCATGCTCAAAATTTTTGTATTTTTATTTTTTTAAGGTCTTTTTTTTAATCATCCGGATTTTCGGATGATCCTAACCCCCGATCATCCGGCCAGATAATCCGACCAGATTATCCGGCCAGATAACCCATGCTACCTAGCATCTTGAGGTCCGGAGGATGAATAATCCAGACAACGGTAAACAAATTTCAATTCGTTGTCCTTATGTTCGACTGTGAAATTTATTTCGTCGCAGCGATCAAAGAGGTAGTGAAGTTGTTGGTGCACCAAGCAGTCAACCCTAAAATCCAGCTCATCTTTGAGTGCATGATCTATTGCTAGCCTGTTCTTGAACCGCACAACGGAACCAGTAGGGCCGAATGTATGAAACGTTTGAAAAGAAGTGAGTTTGACACCGTAAAATTCCTCCCTTGCGAGGAAAAGAACTCTTATTCTTCGACCGTCCACCTTCACGGCAGTGAAGAGCGTCACCACGGTGGTGCCACGATTACACACCCTCACTCGACCGAAGTAGTCTATGATTACCAGCGCCGACTTCGTCGATTTTCCGAGGCAAAACCAGACACAAAGTTTTTGATGCAAGTTGTCTCACGACGTCCACTTTAGTTTCTCACATAGAATGTGCCCTGCTTCCACCATCTCAGAAGTTTGGACGGGTTCCTCTTCAATGGGTTCCCTCTTCAGAAGTGACTCCAATCCGATAAGGCATGCTTGTACATCCTTCATCAGAGTGTACAGGTGTCAAAAGCTTGACCGTGTATCACGACAAATCCGAAGGGGTCCTTCTTCCGTACTTTACCACGACGGGATTTCCCCGTCGGGGGAACACCATTTTTGAGGTGCAGGTAGTCACGGTCCACACTAGAGAGTCCAATGTCTTCCCGAATATTCTTTGACAAAATGATCAGATCGATGTCCGGCGATGAGGAGTTCCTACTCTGCGACGAAGTACCGATATCCATTCTGCATGAGCGGAGAAACGCAAGGAAGCGCGTCAGTGGAATATCTCGATCTTGCGCTGAAGGTGTCGAAAGACCGTTTGCTTCTTTCGTGAGAATATGCTTTTCGGCTTCTGCCATCCCATGAGAAGTCGTCTAGCTTGGCTCAAGAAACCCATGTGACGCCAGTGGGGCACGGGAGTGTGATTCACGGCACTGAGGGTCAGGGCAAGGGGCACGCGCGCAACATTCAGACGCAGATCGGCCCGGATGCTCCTGGGAACACGTCTGGCTTGCATTCTCCAGATGCAGGGACTCACCGGGTCGGTACTCCGAAAATCCTCAAGTTCCTCTGCCAGGGTGACACGTATTCGCTTCGGGATGAGGCGAGAAGAGAATCCGACAGATCAGGGCAAAAGGTTGGAGGGAATGAGGCTGAAGAGATGAGCGTTGTGCGCGACAGCTCTGGTGGGGAGCCGACTTCTTCGGAGAAGAAGTGCAAGCGACAGAAGACGGTGCGAGAAGAGGTGGCGGAACAAACCCGACGCATGAAGAGGATGAAAGGACACTCGGAGCCGATGATTGGCGGGAATGAAGGTGGCGTCGGAGAATGTGCCTCGGGAAAGAGGATGCCAGGGATGAGTGGCAGACAAGAACAAGGAGTCAAAAAGAGGCAGTCGAAGCAAGAGGGTGAAACAACAAATAAGAAAGCGAAGAGGCCCGCCGGTTTGACCATCCGCGAAGGACAAGCTATGGGTGAAGGAGATTAGGCTCGTCTAGGCATTGCCACCGCGAGAGAACCTTCGGAGAAATCGAAAAGGAAACTGGCAGCTGAAGAAGGCGATGGCCAGAAGAAACCTCGGAGGAGGAAGACTGGTGAGGGGACGAGTGGTGGTGAAAGGGCGGTCGGTAGGCAGTACGACGAAGCGGCAGTGTTTTGGCTCGAATACTACCGGAACGATGACGGTGAGATCGTGGAGAAGGAGCTTCCCATTCAACTGCTCATCGACCCAAGGAAGGTCTGCGACATCCCGCCGTCGGAAAGATATTACAATCACCGCAGTCTCACTCGCGATGGTGTCGAGGACATCAAGGGTGAGATGCTAAGGCAGTTCCACGAGGAAAAAGGAAAAATCTGTACGAAAAACCCTTTGGTTCTGACACCCATCTACAAGCCAGTGACGCATAAGCCGGAGAGAGCTGAGAGGGTTCACAAGGATGTCTTCAAGCCAGAGGACAAGGACAAGTACTTTTATTACCCTGTGAACGGACAACACACCGTGGCTGCTGTGAAGGAGTTGGCCGGCGAGCCAATATTCGAATTGTGGAAGATGCACTCGTGGCCAGCCAGAGTCGTGTGGTTCTCCGACGAAGACTTTGGGGGGTATTTGCAGGTCAGTTTCACGGAGAACACAAGACACAAGATGTATAAGCAGCGTGCGTACAAAGCCGCTTTCGAGGACACGCAGGAGGCATGGGAGAATCAAGGAAGGCCGGTGGCCATTCAAGGGAACCCTTCCGGTAAGAAGGCCGAAAAACAACCGTTTTTCGAATTTTAAAAGCTACTTTTGGGAAAGAGTCCGAACGGCACTCACTGGACGATGGCACGTAAAGCGACAACGCTCGCCGACAAGGACCACGTCGTTGCCATTGGCAATGCAGTGAGGCAATGGATGCCGCTTGTGACGGCTGGTGATGAGGTTTTCCGCAAAGGCATGAAGTTCTACGACAAATGGGCCGAGGGAAAGTTGTTGGGCGGAGATGGGAAGACGCTTTTGTCGAAGCCGGGCAAATACATGCCAGACAAATCTCCAGGTCTTCAAGCGATTCCGAAAATGGGCGCGAAAGGGGCGGCTGGTGAAATGAAGATGGGGTGGTTGGTCCGGATCCCGCCGCCTCCGACCAAAAAAGAAAACGCAATCGGACGACAAGTTCTTCGTCGTGGTGAAGGATTCCGACATGTTCTGTTGGCAGTCTCTCGCTGACATGATCGATGCCGAAAAACCGTCGATCCTCGACAACATTCTTGCGCTGAGGGGAGTGTTCGTGCAATTGGCGGGCGGGCATCTAAGACGTCAGCATAAGCCAGGAATTAAAGACATGGTGGCGACGAGGAAAGTGGACCGCATGATGCTCCGCATGTTTCACTACATCTTGTTCCTCGAATCCGAGGAGGACGCGGAGGTTTGGAGGTATGGGAGCCAGTTTTTTCGGACCGAGGAGCAACTTCTGGCGGAGTTCGCACCTCGGGGCCTCACGAAACAGTGTGGGTTGAACTGCGGAAGCATTTCTACGGCGCGGTGGAGTACGTGAACACTTGCAAACGTTGTCTCCATACGAGAAAGAGTCCCTCGACGAAACAAAGAAAATGGACAATGACAAGAGGTTCCCTAAATCTTTCGAGAAGTATGTCCGTTCCATCTTGAGATGAACGGAGGAAGAAGTGCAAGACACGATCAGGGTCAGCAGGGATGTGAGACACATCAAATGGCACGAGATCAACCGGGTGACCAGCCTTACTCCTTTCAGTTGTCCAACTTCCCAGGCTCACACTCGTCTCACTGAGATCCTCGAGATTGTGCGACATTACGTGTGCAACTTGTACGTCCTCGATTTATGTGATCCCACACTCCTGTCAGATTGGCAAGAAGAGGATTTCGCCTCCTTGCAAGGCGTTCTCCAAACCCTATCGCCAAGGCACTGGGCACTTGTTGTCTTCTTCCCCTCTCATTGGGAACTCAGTTTCTTGAAAGACAGGGCTAAGCTTAGCGTTCATCACGTCAGGACAGGGAAGTGGGTGTGCCATGCACAAAGGAAGGTCACTGTTTGGGAAGGCAATATGCTCGTCAAAGAGTATGGTCGTCTGTACGTGGTTTTCAATGGCGAGAACCTTGCAGACAACACGGTTGCAGTCTTCCTGGCCAGTAGTCCATCGAAGCCTCCCTGTGCCAATGCTCCAAGTCTGGCCAAACCCGCGGTGGCGACCCACTCGAAAGTTGCTTGTTCATCCGACCCGTCAGGATAGGTTGTGGCCTGTTTCGACGTGGCAGACGAGGACAAGTTCCCTCGTAGCCAGTGGGAGGACGGCAGTGTGACAAGTGTTCGAGGAGCTACTTACAGGAACAGGGAACACAACCTAGCTCATCTGATTGGTCTGCAGGAGAACTTTTGCAGAGTTGGGCAAACTGTTTTTTTCTTCGGGAAGGCGCACGTGTCTGTTGTGTGGGAGCTCCTCCGCAGCGGTCGGAACGTCGTTGCGTTAGAGGACGAGGCGAAAATGATCGATTACCTTTGCGAGTTCGTTAAGACACGCGTGGGGGACCCTCGCCACCAATGCTCTTTTGTCCAGACCACCGGCGAACGATACTGGGAATCCGATCCCAAACGTGATACGTATTGAAAATTGCCGGAGAAAAAAACGACGGAGGTTTGGGAGTTCCTTTTCCAGCCACAACCGCCTGCTCAGACAGACCTGGAATACAACCGACGGAGGAACCTGGTGTTCGGTGTGGTGAATGATTACCACGATGCACCCTGGGAGTCTGTCTCAAATTTTCTCAAACGGCTGAAGCACGTTTTCTTCTTGCGCTGAGGGGAGTGTTCGTGCAATCGGCGGGCGGGCATCTAAGACGTCAGCATAAGCCAGGAATTAAAGACATGGTGGCGACGAGGAAAGTGGACCGCATGATGCTCCTCATGTTTCACTACATCTTGTTCCTCGAATCCGAGGAGGACGCGGAGGTTTGGAGGTATGGGAGCCAGTTTTTTCGGACCGAGGAGCAGCTTCTGGCGGAGTTCGCACCGCGGGGCCTCACGAAACAGTGTGGGTTGAACTGAGGAAGCATTTCCACTGCGTGGTGGAGTACGTGAATACTTGCAAACGTTGTCTTCCGTACGAGAAGGAGTCCCTCGACGAAACAAAGAAAATGTACGATGATGACAGGTTCCCTAAATCTTTCGAGAAGTCTGTCCGCTTCATCTTGAGATGAACGGAGGAAGAAGTGCAAGACACGATCAGGGTCAGCGGGGATGTGAGACACATCAAATGGCACAAGATCAACCGGGTGACCAGCCTTATTCCTTTCAGTTGTCCAGCTTTCCAGGCTCACACTCGTCTCACTGAGATCTGCGAGATTGTGCGACATTACGTGTGCAACTTGTACGTCCTCGATTTATGTGATCCCATACTCCTCTCAGATTAGCAAGAAGACGATTTCGCCTCCTTGCAAGGCGTTCTCCAAACCCTATCGCCAAGGCACTGGGCACTTGTTGTCTTCTTCCCCTCTCATTGGGAGCTCAGTTTCTTCAAAGACATGGCCAAGCTTAGCGTTCATTACGTAAGGACAGGGAAGTGGGTGCGCCATGCACAAAGGAAGGTCACTGTTCAGGAAGGCAACATGCTCGTCGAGGAGTATGGTCGTCTGTACGTGGTTTTCAATGGCGAGAACCTGGCAGACAACACGGTCGCAGTCTTCCCGGCCAGTAGTCCATCGAAGCCTCCCCGTGCCAATGCTCCAAGTTTGGCAAGACCCGTGGCGGCGGCCCGCTCGAAAGTTGCCTGTTCAACCGACCCGTCAGGACAGGTTGTGGCCTATTTCGACGTGGCAGACGATGACAAGTTCCCTCGTAGCCACGATGACAAGTGTTCGAGGAGCTACTTACGGGGACAGGGAACGCAACCCAACTCATCTCATTGGTCTACGGGAGAACTTTTGCAGAGTTGGGCAAACTGTTTTTTCTTCGGGAAGGCGTATGCGTCAGCCGTGTGGGAGCTCCTCCGCAGAGGTCGGAACGTCGTTGCGTTAGAGGAGGAGGTGAAAATGATTGATTACCTTTGCGAGTTTGTTAAGACACGTGTGGGGCACCCTCGCCACCAGTGCTCTTTTCTCCAGACCACCGGCGAACGGAACTGGGAATCTCATCCCAAACGTGATATGTATTGAAAATTGCCGGAGAAAAAAAGGAAGGAGGTTTGGGAGTTCCTTTTCCAGTCAGGACTGCCTGCTCAGACCGACCTGGAATACAACCGACGGAGGAACCTGGTGTTTGGTGTGTTGTATGGTTACCACGATGCACCTAGGGAGTTTGTCTCAAATTTTCTCAAAAGGTTGGAGCACGTTTTCTTCTTGATGGCCGAACCACTGACCCTAGAAAACTACAAGGCGCAGTTCGAGGAGGAGGACACTTTCGACGTTGAGGACATGGAGGAGATGAGCGACTCTGAAACCTTCGATTTCGAGTCCATCCCACTTCCTCGGGTGGTTGCACAGGTTGATGATGAAGGGGAAGGTGTTCCTCGGAGATATAGCACGTCCCCTGCCGGTTTGAAGCGTGTGTTTGAGCGCGAAACAGTCGAGGACCAATCTTCTGATGACGGGGAAGAAGAGAGAGACTATGATTACGAACCTGGTGACAAGCTCCCTAGGGAGCATGATACCTGGGAGGATGACAGGCTTTTCTTCTACGGGAAGCATCACCGGTTCACGTCGGAGGATGTCTGGGGCCACAACGTCGTCTGATACCCCAGGAAATTCCAACCTGCTGTAAAGAGTGGAAAGTGGGTCATGACAATGAAGAAAGCGGATGGCAAGTGGAGTGGCATGAACAGACTAGGAGCCAATCCATTTAAGAAAAAGGAGAGAGAAGCTTTGGTGGAGCATTTAAGGGTTATGAACCTCGACACGAGTCTGCCGGACATCAATGCATATGCAGGCCAAAAGCTAGATGAGTTGTACGCAACAAAATACAACAAAATGTTCGAGTTTTGAGCGCCTTTCTACGCATTGGAGACGACACTGTCTCGTGGCATTGACTGGTGCATGCCACAACCCTAGTCGGGTGGTCAATATCCGGGAGGCGGTGGGCGAGGTGATGGAGGAGACAGCGAAGTACCCGGTGGAGGAGGTGACGGAGGAGACAACTCAGGATCAGGTGGTGACGAAGCAAAGGGGAAGGGGTCAGGCGAAACGTCGTCGGAATCAAAGGGCTCCGACGGAAAACGGTCCTGCAAAAAAGGGTCCAGCAGAAAGAGGTCAGGCGGAAAGGGGTCGGGCAGAAAGGGGTCGGGCGGAAAGGGGTCGGGCGGAAAGGGGCCGAGCGGAAAGGGGTCGGGCGGAAAGCGTAGAGCGTTTGAGAGTTACGAGTCTAGCGGAACTGAAAGCCGCTGCGAAGGGAGTCGAGACTCGGGCATGCGAGACAAGGCGGCCCTGAGGTCTTATCAAGTGCGAGTACATTCGCACTTGTATGCGAGGACTTTGTTTCACGACGCCAGCGAGCGCAAAGTGCCGGAGGGGCCCGCTGCAGGAGTGTTGGAGACCAGGCCTAGCGAGTATGATCGCGCTTCGGAGGGTGTTTCCATCGATTTCCAAAGCAAGAGTGCAGCGGATCCGGGGGAAGAGGAGCTGTCACATTATGCACATATTGTACACCGGGAAGCGGAGAATCGACATTGGCCGCCTAGCAGAGTGCCGGATGATCTCAATGCAGGAGTGTTGAAGACCGCGGCTAGCGGGCATCTACGTCATCCTTCGGAGGGTGTGTCCGCCGACTTAGAGAGCAAGAGTGCACCACCTCGGGGAAAAGGGGGAGTTCTCACAGGAAGAACGTGCTGCGCAGCGGGAAAAGGAAATTCAACATTGGCTGCCTTACGAAGTTCGGGAGGGGCTCGATGCAGGAGTGTTTGAGACCAATACTAGCGAGCATCATTGTCATGCTTCGAAGGGCGCGTCCGTCGATGTTGAGCGCAAGATACAGCAGCTTTCGGGGAAGAGGACCACTCACAGGAAGCGCATGCTGTGCAGCGGGAAGTCGGGTCGGGCGGAGGTGAAAGCCACTGCGAAGGGAGTCGAGATTCCAACACGCGAGACGAGGCCGCCCTGGGGTCTTATGAAGTGCGAGTAGATTCGCAATTGTCTGCGAGGGCTTCGTTTCATGACGTTGAGGACAGTCATCGCCGCAGTGTGCAGCACGCTTGTCATGTTCAGGACGACACCTTGCTCCTGCACCTCTTGGTTATGAAACACCCGCGGACGCGCGCGGGGCTGATCTCGGATGGCGGCCGCATATGATGCCGCGTCCACGGCCGTCCTGGTCCGCGCCGCGGACCCTATTTTACCAGAATTTTCCTGAATTAAACAATGAGTAAAAAAAAAAAACAGGTTGTAGGGAATTTTTAAGCCCTACAACCCCATTTTGTTTTTTGGAATCCGACTTTGTGAAGGATTTTTAAAAAATCAAAAAAATAATTGGATTTAAAAAATAATAAAAAATATATATAAAGAAAAGCAGGAATTTTTTTTTGTTATGTTTTATCATGAGATATATGGTCCCTGAGTTGACCTGTATTTTTTTCAGAAATTAATTTCTGTTTTTTGCAGGG